ATTGCTAGTTTTTCCAAAGAGGTTTCTTCTGAATACTTTGCTTGAATGGTTGCTGTTGAACTTATTGTCATTTATAAATTGTCAAAATTGATATTCAAAAAGGTTGGGCCGCTCAAGGTCTTAAAATTCCAAGTTCAAGGCAAGCTATGACTTTAATGTTTTTGGAATACAAAGCTTAAATAAGAATGGTTTATAATTTGTTAAAAATGATTGAGAATGGTGATAGATTTTCATTGACTCTAGATGAATGGACTTCCATTAGAAATCAAAGATATATATGTCCAAAATTACACATGTCAGATGAATCAGTTCAATGCCTTGGAATGATGAGGATTGTGGGTTCAATGAAGGCTGAGGGTGATTGATTTAAACAAAGATTTTAAATTAAATCTAAATAATCAAATTTTTGGAATGGTTACAGATGGATGGTAACGAGATAGGGCCAGTGTAACGAAAAAAACCGGATGATTGTCTCAAATAACTCATCAACTATGTCTTTCTTATGGAATCCACTTGGCAGTAGTTGATGTACTTTATAAAAAAGCAAATGATCTAGTAGTAGATAAAGGTTCTTGTTGTGACAACATAGATGAGGATACTGAAGAAGTCAATGATTGTGATAATGAAACCAATTATGAAACTTCTGTCAATTGGGAAGAACTACTACTTAATAATGAAACTGTTGAGCAATGTGAGCTTGATAGAATTAAAACCAATATCCAAAAAGTTAGAATGACATGCAAAATTAAAACTCTTTTCCAAACTCATTAAGACAACGCTGTTGTCTTAATGAGTTTGGAAAAGAGTTTTAATTTTGCATACAAAAACATGTTGGAACTCAATGTCTAAAATGATTTTAAGATTTCTTAAAATTGAACCAGCAGTTACGAAAACATTAGAGCATTTTAATGCATTGGAAATGCTACCAACTGATGAGATTAAAACAGCTAGGCATTTAGGAGATTGTTTTGAAATTATTGAAGATGGTGCTGAAGTTCTTTGTAAATAAGATAATCTTTTTGGAGCTGAAAAAACGTGTGAATTTATTTTAATAAAACTAAAAGACCAAGATAATACAAATATCTTCTTTTTTTTTTGAGTCTATTATAAAAAGAATTTCTGAAAGAAGAAATATTGTAGTTGCAGGACTTTTAAGATATTTAAAGGCACAAAATCAGTATGATCAAGCTAAAAAAAATCTATTTTAAAATAACCTAAGAAAAAAGAACTATTATTTATAGCAAGAGATATTTATTGTAGTCTTTTTTATGACCATAAAGATCCTAAAACATCAGTTAAATGTGAAGTATCACATTTAACTGATGTTTTATTAACATTGAAATTAAAGAACCTTTTTAGTAACATTGAAATTAAAGAACCTTTGAAAATAGTAATGCTGAAGAGCTTAATTACTTCCTGTCCAGAAATTTAAATTTAATGATGAACAAGGCTTCTTTTAATGTTTTGGACTGTATTAAAAAAGAAATTTGAATGATCAAATGGCTAAAAAATGCTAAAAAAAGTTACACTATGCTTTAAAGTCTTTACATCATCAGTTGAACTACCACCATCATCATCTTACCACCATCATCAGTTGAAATAGAAAGACGCTTCAGTGCTGCTGGAATTTTTATCACTATCTTGACAACATTATGATAAAATGGTTGACACATATTTTTGCGTTCAAATTTAAAAGTTTAGTTATACTTTCTTTAGTTAGGTTTAAAGAAGTTAAAAAGTAATATAAGTACTTTATAAGTTACTTATAAAGTACTTATATTCAGGTTACTGAAGTTTAAAGTAATATAACACAAATACTTTTATAGTACTTTTATAATACTTTTTTTGTTAGGTTACTATAAAGTAATATAACACAAATACTTTTATAGTACTATAACACAAAAATGTAAAATTTATGTTTTAAAAATAACTAAAATTACTTAAAATTACTTAAATTATTTTGAAAAAAAAATGCTTAAAATTACTCAAGTAATTTTTTCCCATTACTTGAAATAGTTGCATTTATTTGGCATTTACTTGCAAAAGTCAGCCATATTAACTTTAAAAAGTGTTGTGTCGTTATTAAAACACTGTACTACACTTAAATATATATATTCTTATAAGTAAGCCATCTTTAATATACATTTTTATAGCCACTTATGTTTATATATATCAAAACATTGTTCCTATTTGTCCATATATGATTCACGGCTTCACATCCCTGAAACGTATTGGCTTTTGCCCCCTTGTCGACCGAGTACTTCTTTGATTCTGGTTAGGTTCTTCTTTAGTAACACGTAGTTCAGACATATCAGATTTATCACTATTGCATGGATCGATTTTTTCATTATTGGTATGATCATACCGCATACTGCCTTCATTATTCATAAGTATACTAGGCTCATTTAGGCGTTTGTTTTTTTGGTCACAGTGTGCTAACGTACCCGAAGAGTTATTCCTTAATATGATCGCAGTGTTTAGACCTGCCTGAGAGATGAATGAGGCAGGTTCAGGTTTGGAATCTGGTTTTTGACGGTACCATAAAGGTGTCCCACTTTCGAAACTCATGGTGAGAGGTGATCTCAACTGCCTTCCCATCATCTCGGAAGGACTCCTTGATCTTCCTGCATGAGGTATTGTTCTGTAACTTAAAACAGGATATTTGCTCCAGTTGCCTGATAAAATCAATACATGCTCCTAGTTTAGGCGATTCTCCACTCTGTATCATTTCTAGAGCTTTAACTCTCTGATCAGAAGATTGGAGACCATCAATCAATCTCATTTGAATCAAATCATCTTCCGCACTTTGGCCATCTCTTCCCAATTTTTCGAAGTTGCAAAAGAGTGAAGCTTCGCGTAATCTTTGTGCATATGATACGATGTTTTCATTGTTTTGCTGTTTTAATGCTAAAAATCGAACTCTTTCAGCAATAATTAGTCGTTTTTGAGGTCTCAAATGGGACATAATAACAGTTTTAATATCATCGAACATCATATTTTCTAATTCTTCTGGATATACCATAAGAGAAATCTTTTTAACTGCTTCAATCCCTGCTTTTGCCATAAATAAATCTGTTATCTCGTAGCTACCGTTTATCTCATCTTTTAATTTCTTTGAACGTGCGGAAGCTGAAAAGCATCTAATCCATGCTTCTGCATTATCTGGGTCATCTAAAGTCAAATCGTCCCTTACTCGTAGCGCCATTGTTGTGTCGTTATTAAAACACTGTACTACACTTAAATATATATATTCTTATAAGTAAGCCATCTTTAATATACATTTTTATAGCCACGTATGTTTATATATATCGAAACATTGTTCCTATTTGTCCGCATATGATTCACGGCTTCACAAAAAGAAATTTTGAATAGAATATGAAAAACATTTTTTATATATATTTTCATTTTGTTTATAGCGATATCAAGATAATAGATTTTCTAGAAATATTTTTTTTAAGAAATTCATTTTTAAAAAAAATCAATTGTTTATGTATATTCTGAAAAAGGATTTTGTACATTGCATATTTTTTTTTTTTTTTTGTTAATCTGTTTTATCAAGAGAATTTCTTCTAAAAAAAATTTTTATTCTAAAATTGTTTAAATAATCTTGAGCTTAAAACTAAAAATTTTGAAAAAGTTAAATAAATTTAAAAAAACAATTTTATAAGATTTTTTTTTTGAAAAAGTTAAATAAATTTAAAAAGACAATTTTAAAAGATTTTTTTTTTTGAAAAAGTTAAATAAATTTAAAAAGACAATTTTAAAAGATTTTTTTTTTTTGAAAAAGTTAAATAAATTTAAAAAGACAATTTTAAAAGATTTTTTTTTTTGAAAAAGTTAAATAAATTTAAAAAGACAATTTTAAAAGATTTTTTTTTTTAAAAAAGTTAAATAAATTTAAAAAGACAATTTTAAAAGATTTTTTTTTTTGAAAAAGTTAAATAAATTTAAAAAGACAATTTTAAAAGATTTTTTTTTGAAAAAGTTAAATAAATTTAAAAAGACAATTTTAAAAGATTTTTTTTTTTTGAAAAAGTTAAATAAATTTAAAAAGACAATTTTAAAAGATTTTTTTTTTTGAAAAGGTTAAATAAATTTAAAAAGACAATTTTAAAAGATTTTTTTTTGAAAAAGTTAAATAAATTTAAAAAGACAATTTTAAAAGATTTTTTTTTTTTGAAAAAGTTAAATAAATTTAAAAAGACAATTTTAAATTTGATTCAATTTTTTTTTTTTGATTCAAGTTTTTCATCAGGGTTTTGATTAAATCCAATCAAAATAAGAAACGTGACAGTGTTACACAAAACAAACTCAAAAAATTGCACATAAAACATTGCTTATAAATAAGAAAAACAGCTAATTTTAGAATTATTTTTTACATATATTTCCTGCTGCATAATTTATTAAAGTTTGTACTATGATTCAATTTCAAAGATTGTTTTTTTTTTAATAAAAAAATGGAAAACAACTACTGTAGGAGAAGTAAATTCTTATTCCCTGTAGAGGTTAGAACAACCGGAATTTTAACTGTTAATGAGTATAAACTGTCATATCATTTTTTTAAACAATTTGTTGTTAACAAAATTTTTGCTTACAGCACATCAACTAAATTTGTATTTCTAAATGACGTTCTTTCTATGATCAATCTAAAAAAGTGTAATAAATAATCTATGATTTTTTTTTGTTACAAAAAAAAAAAATCAAAACTAAATAATCACTAATTCATAAATTTACTATATACTTTTAAAAAGTTTAACTTATAAATCTAAATCTTATAAAGCAACTTTATGTTTAATAAAGCAACTTTAACCAATTAATCCTACTTAATATTTCTGTTGTAAAAGAAAACAAAAAGTACAAATAAGTTTTTTGTCAACCTGGCGTAACAGTTGATGTAATGCCTAACTGTAACAAAGCTGTTGACTACAAATTGAGGAATTTTTTAATAAGTTTTTTATTGACCACAATTTGACTGTAATAATTTTATTTATAATTTTTAGAGTCACCAGCACAAGTTGAAAATATAAAGGTACTAAATATAACATCTGATCAAGCAACAATAACTTGGGATGAGCCACGTAAAGGATCATTTGAGCTTGGTTTTTATGTAATTCAATGCAATAACTGTCCTTCATATAGAAATGAATTTCCAAAAAAGACTACTGATTTGAGTATTACAGTTACAAATCTTGCAGCTTATGCAACATATAAACTTTGTATTTATAATGAGAACAATGCTACTAATTTAACTGGAATAAGATATTATGCATTATTTAGTTTTCTTACTGAGAAAGGAGGTAGCTTAATTTTCAATATCTCATATGTAAAAAATTTTTCTTTATGTATTTACATTTATTTTCATAAACAAAATGGTATGCTGGCAAAAATATACTTGGCAAAATCTTAATTTTTTTTGTTGTGTACTCCTCTGAGGTTTATTTTTATATTAGTAACATGAAATTTGAGGCTCAAATTTTAGGAACAAATTATTTAAAAAATTTGGCATATAAAATTCGCCGAATGTTCACACACGAGCAGTGAACGCCTGAGGGAAGAAATGAAGTACATTAGAATAAAGGAGAATTATTTATTAGACAAAGCATATTTTGACAGTTGTCAAGACAAAAATAAAGGTTAATAGAGGAATATTTAAAAATAAATAAGACAGGCTATACAATTAAAACAGTAGGGGAAAGCAGGTAGGATTCGTACACTTTTTACACTAAGTCGTATAAAAGCAAAAATAATTACTATTTTAAAATAATTTTAATGCTGCTGAGTAACCTAAATATCTGGCTTTTATAATATTGTAGTTTAGTCTTGAAAAAAGCTAACAAGACAGTACTATGATGTCTTTTGCAAAAAAATGGAGATCGTACGAATGCACCCCAAACGGCGGGGTAGCTTCGTTCAGTTTTTTGTTCGGTACTTTATTACTAAGTTAAAAATATATTTATTGAAAATAAACATTTATTAAGTTTAAAATTGAAACAAAATAAATATTAAACATAATAAAAATAAAATTATATATCTTATATGCAGAGAATACATATTTTCTCTAAAGCTTTTCTAACTTCTCCTAGATATCAGTTACGGCTGTCTGTTTAAATGCAAAATAAAGGCTGCGCGGGTTTTTTCATACGTATTTACAGTACGAATCCTCCCCACTTATTACTGTACGAATGTACCCCAACCATATCAACTAACATATAAATTCAAAATAAAAATAACGGATAAGGTTATTAGAAAACTATTGATTAGATATTAATATAAGACACTTATACAAAAAGCATAATAAATTATTTCATTAATTGGATCAAAAATTATTACAAATAAATGTTTTCAAAGATTATTTGTAAAATTACTTTAGCAGTGCAAAAACACGTATCGACTTGTTCCAATGACGATTAGGATAGCACTACCACGGCACTAAGCTGCTCGCCTTTGTGCATTAGTGGTCTTCACACACACATAAATATAAATGTGTCAAAACAAAGAGTGGTCTAGATAAGCCTACTGTACGAATGCTCCCGCTGTACAAATCCTACCTGCTCTCCCCTACTCAACAATAATAACAATAAAAAAAATTAAAAATAAATAATAAAAATATATATATAAATATATATTAAAATTAAAAAAAAAAAAAAAAAAAAATTGTTTTATAAACTTGGCAAAATTTTAATTTTTGTTGTTGGTTGTGTACTCCTCTGAGGTTTATTTTTATATTAGTAACATGATTCATGGCTCAAATTTTAGGAACAAATTGCTTATATAATTTTTTTGTTTTATATTTAAAAGCTTTGTTATAAAATTTTAACAACACTAGTGCAATACTAATTACAGCATTCATAATAACTAGCTGTCGTGACCTGTAAAATACCGGTCTTGGTAAATCTATTCCACACCACCCTTTTCTATACTTATTCCTTATTTTAATATGTTTTAGTAAGCGTTAGAAAAATACTTATTATTATTGTTATTATTATTATTATTATTATTATTATTATAGTTTATGCTTTAGCTGGTAGAATCGCCAGCAAGTGTGAATTGCACACTTTGACAGCCTTATCAAACATCAATAAAAGTTTTCATAAATGTGTGTAATTTGTCACTTATGTATTGTATCATAAATTTTTTTAAATTCCTTCAAAGATTTTGCCGGCAGAGAATTCCGTAACGGTTCGTTTCTATTTGTTAAGAAGTTGTGTCTTATTGCATTGCTAATAATTTCCCTAGCGTATCTAAACTTGTGACCTCTTGTGTTTAAATTTTTTAATAATGGAGGATTGACAAGTTCAACTTTTTCTATTTCTTTAAACATTTTGTACATTTTGAATTTTGAGTTTTCTTTATTAAACTTATCTAAAATACAGTGTAACCAAATAAAACAAAGCATAATATAATAATCTAACTATATTCTATTCTACTATTAGTCATATTTAAGATGTTTTAAAAGAATTTAACAATGTGTAAAGATAACATATTTCTATCAAGAACTTAAACTAAAGTTATAAATAAATTGATATAATCTATAAACTGAGTAATGTTATATATTCAAGGTAGTTAGATAAGTTTAATAAAGAAAACTTAAAATTCAATCTAAAAAATAAAAGTTCAACTTTTATCATTTTAAGCACCATTTTTGATGCTTAATTATGTCTGATAGTTTAAGAAGTGAAATTATTAGACTTCCTCAAAATAAATGAAACCAAATTAAGTGAGCTGAGATAAATAGTCATCATAAAGAAAGAGATAGGCCTAGGCGAGCTGAAATTAAATGTAATTGAAATGTAAGAAATCAGGCTAGGCAAGAACTCAATAGGTATAATATGCATTGCATAGCAAATTTATTTTATATCTTTATTTATAATTAATTATTGAGAAAATATTATAAGTATTTAATTAAAAAAAATAAATAATAATAATTAAAAGAATTATAATTATTTTACAGATAAAAGCTCATAGATAATAAAGCAAATTGAAAAAATTATAAAGCCAGTCTGCTTAAATTAAAATGTATGTATGTATTAAAATATTATTATGGAGAAAACATTCTCTATACAAAAAATCCTTAAAATTTAATGAAAGTTACTAAAACTTTTAATTATAGTAACTTTCATTAATAAATAGTTCCAGTAAAAAGTGATAATAATAAAAAGTAATAATAATGAATAATAGTAATGATAATAATAATGTGAACAGTAATCTCTTTATAATAATTCTGAATTTAATAGTAGTAGTTGTGCTCCTTCAAGCATGTTTGACATGGAACCCTTGGCAACCATTGCAACTGAGGTAATGGTGAGAAAAAGTACACAAACGAAAGTGTATGCCAATATCTAAACAGCAGTTATCTTCAAATTATGTAATGTTAAAAATATATTAAAACTTATATCAAGTTTTACAGTTTTACTTTCATTTGAAAATTGCATTACAACAACATCACCTTAATTTTGATCTATACCATTTATTTCTGTTTTATAAAGTCTTTCGTTTGTTAAATAGTTTTAAAATTTTTGTCAGACAACAGGCCAAGTGGATAGTTCAATGTATTTCTGAAACAAAGCGCAGTGAAAAAATATTACACACTATAACCAATAGAAGAAGAGAATTTTTAAAAAGCCTAAAATTTCTAAAACATTAGAACACTGGGAAAAATTTGTTGCGCATATATCAAAATAGAGAAACTTATGTTATTGATGTGTTCAGGTAATTAGTCCCAATAAGCTGCAGATGGTCTGAAAAAAAATTATAGTCAGAAACGTAATAAAGAAAAAATTTAACAAGACACTCCTGCTACAGAGTGGCCAGTGGTTCTTGAAATCCTTGAAATCCAGGAAAAGTCCTGGAATTTTATTGGTCCTGGAAAAGTCCAGGCAAAACAACCCTTTTTACAAAAAATCCTGGAAATCCTGGAACCTTTTTTTATCGAGTTCAATACTCCATTTTCTTGTTTTCATCTTTTAAAAAATTTATAGTTTGATTTTACATTTTTTGGAATGATGAAATTATTTTAATTAATTTTTCTATCTATAATTCTACTAATAGTTTAGAAAATAAAGTATACAAATAATATATATAACAATTAATATATAATATAACTAACATAATGCCCAAGTCAAAGAACTGTTGTTTCCAAAAAGAATGACTATACAATACTTCTTGGGTTAAATTGTGTTCTTCAAATTCAAAGAAATTAAGATGTAATTGGTGTCAAACAGATATTTATATTTCTAACATGGGTATCTGTTTTGTATTCTCATGCAATCCGTAAGAAGCATAAAAAGCATGCAAGGACACATAATGCAGCTGATATATTCTTTACAGGTAGTTTTTTATTTGATTTGGTTTTTTTACTTTTTATTTTTAAAAATGTTTTTGAATGAATGCTTGGAGCAAATTGATTAGCTGTGCACTTTACAGGATATTAATTTTTTTTTTTACATATTTCATTCATAGATTTTACTACAGAAATATCTGGCAATAAAGCAGCTTTTGTTAACTTACAAGAACATTTTCTTAATTTGAACAATGTTTTAAATGACAAACTGGCACAACCTATTACAGAGGATCTTCAATCTGCAGCTCTGGTTACCAAGGTAGAATCATCTTTGGTTTGTCATATGATGAGAGTATGAATGTAATCTTTAAAAATTAATAAATGAACTGTGGAGTTAGAAACTGAGATTCAAATTCTGGTGTTGAAAATACTAGGTATATTGATTGTAAATTCCTCAAATGCCCTTATTCACAGAATTTATTTGACAAACTCATTGAAACAACAGAGATGTTTGATTTTGGAAAACTAATTCAAGTATCAATAGATGGTCCTAATGTTAATTGGGAGGTTCTAAAAATATTAGATGAACATAGACAGGAAAAATGATATTCTGATAAAGTTAATATGGGCAGTTGCAGTTTGCACATTGTTCATGATGCCCTACAGACAGAATTAAATTCCATAAGTGGGAGTTAGAAAAAATATTTTGTGCAATGTAATATCTTTTTTAAAGAGTCACCAGCTAAAATAGATGAATATATTAGAGTTTGCGAAACTGATCTGCTTGCTTTGTCGTAAGTATGCATATTTAAGCAGAAAAAAATATAATAATAAATTATCTTATCTTTTATATTTATATATAAGTTAGAGAATTTCAGCATTTATATTTTTGGATTTTGTTTCACACTTTCTGCGCAACTTGCTAGTTAGAAGATAAAGGTGTGGCTTCTAGAGGCATTATTGTATGGCCATACATGGTTAAAATTATAAAATATTGGGAATCACTATGCAAAAGCA